AGCGAACCTGCTTTCCTACACACTTGTTTGTTTGGCCCTTTTAAGGGGGCACTGGCAGTTACAAACACCTATAACTAGTTTGAGCGTGGTGCAGCGTCCTTCAAATTACCATTTGACAAGTTCTCAGTCAGCAGATCAATGGAAAGTCATATATTTTTAGTGCAGACTTGTGATGCGGCTTAACCAGCTGGTTCCTACAACGTGCTCCATTCTCAAGGCCAATCCCATCAGCATTGCGGTCAACAACATTAGACTATAGGCAAAGAACGTGTAGGAAATCCGAGCTGTGGTGAGACCGTGTACTAGGAGCAAGAATCTACTAGGGGCTCCTGGCCTTACTACTAGGAGCAAGAAGCTACTAGTAACAAGGAAGCAGTGTGTGACCGCATGGATGTTTCAGGGCCTGGGCTTGTTGCGAAATATGCAGAAATGCTCTTGAAGATACCAGCCCACCAGGTTAGGCACAACAGCGCCTGAATGTGCCTGGCCGTTTGGTTGTTATTGGACATACTTCACCGAAGGAGGTCTTTGGTTTGCCGAGTTCTTGTTCTTGTTTTTGAGGCACTTCTTGGAGTTCAGCAGCTTCGACTGAGAAAAAGCATACGTTTGGCGAAATGAAGACTGCTTTGTCTTGGTGCATTGTATTGTTGTTGCATTTTGATCGCGTGAATTCAACATCCTGTTTGGGCTCAGTTTGAACTAGTTCTCATTTGGCCTCATCCTGAATCTCATGTCTTCCAGCCCAGGATTCTTTGTTTGCGCAAGGATCTGTTGCTTTCACCTAAGCTGTGAACGTATTGAGCATAGCCAAGTTTCAAGACAGAATCTATGTTGGCCATGAGAGCAAAGCCGTTGCGATGGAGTCGCAAGGACAAGCAGAAACTATGGACACAGTTATTGCACTACTAGTATCAAAGCCTAGCAACTTCCAGCCACGGGTGAATGATACATGTTGACGTATTTGTGTGCACTTGTGTGATAGGTGAATGATGGTGAATGACATGGGAGTGAGGTCTAGTGACCATTGTCAGGTTTCACCAAGTGTGTGAGAAGCACTGTGTTTTCAGAAAAGGTATAGATGTTTGGTTTAGACCTTAGGACCTCTCTTATGTCCTTCCTGTCCTTCTAGGTTGGAGGCCATCGCAGGTAGATTTTTGGTTCCTTCAGACCTCTCCTATTTCCTTCCTTTCCTTTCTTCCTTTCCTTCTATGTTGTTCCTTGCAAATAGGCCAGGGCTTTGTTCCTGTTAACACCCAGAGCGGTCGGCATCACCTAAAGCTCGGTTCCTGTGAGAAAACTGCACATTTTGTTTTTCCAACTGTGCTGCAACCAGTACAGCAACATTGGCAACCTCAGCATCAAGAACGACAGACACGTCAACCTTGTCGTCAACAACAAACACAACATCAATATTGTAGTTTATATTGACACAATTTGCTTCAACAGCAACCTCCACCATGAAGAATCATCCTCACGAGGACAATCAGAGAGGAGAAGACGATGAGAATATGAAAGAAGCCGCGGCACCGGCAACGCAGTAATAGAAGGCAACGCAGTATGCACAGCCATGTCGCAACATCACCAACAAACACCGATTGTCAGAGACACCATGTCATTTATCTCATCACGCTGGATGTCTCACAAAGTGACCAACGTAGGTCCCCAATAGATGCAGCCTGAACAGCGCACGCAGCAGTCCAAGAAGCAAAGGATGTATTGACTCTCTTGCCTCAATGAAGCAAGCGGTTAAGGCCGTGTGTAGATGCCCCACCAGGCCAAACGTATAGGCTCCACATCAGGAGTGTGTCCACATCCTTTTCAGCACAAATAGGGCAGGCAGCCTTGAGGCCCTTTGTTTTACCATGTTTTACCATTTGTGTGAATATAATCTTCAATCCAAAATAGTCAAGTGGGTGGGAACAGTAAACGGTTTTCCCGGAACTTTTTCCCACACCCCGAATAGGTTAATCAGCGAGACGGAATAACATTGAGTTTTGTTCACTCAGGGTGCTTTTTTTAAAATCAGGTTTGCTATTGATTGGTTCACTGAGAGGAGCTGTTCCAAGAAAACTGAGGGAGCATGACCTGAGAGCTGCACATGCTGCTACTACTACTGCTCCTCCTACTCCTCCTCCTCCTGCTCCTCCCCTCCTACTCCTCCTACTCCTACTCCTGCTGCTGCAATAGTTTCGGTGGGGTTGACACTATTCACTCTCCCTCAATTATTTGCTTGGCAGGAGGGGCTGTTTACTATTTAAGGTCCAGCATTAGTGCCCTCGTAGAATCTGTGTATTTGATGAATACTGCTCAACTACAGCAGGTTACATTTGGCAGGAGCAATGGTGCCCATGCGTGGCCACCTTCTTTTTTGCTACTCCCTCAGCCAAACCAGGATCACATACCAACGCATGGCAACGAAGTTGATTTCAGTCAGTGCCATCGCTAGATTGCTATTAGGTTGGAGGTCATCGCTATTAGTGTCTTTTTTCAGTCAGTGTGCTTCAAGGCCTGCGCTGTTTGCCATCAAGGATGTTTCAGTTTTCTGGGATACAACGCCGCCGCCTTTGTATCATCCACTGCCTGCCCACTTCTTTTGGTCTCGCTTTCCTTTCCTTTTCCGAGGCAGCAGCGAGAACTCCAAGCTCAATGGTCGTTAATGCCTTGGGAGAAATGGATTCATGCATAACAAAAAAGAACAGATTTAAAAGAAAAGAACAAGCAGACAAAGGAACACAATAGCATGTTGTTGAACCGTTGTTTTTCTGAAAACCAGGCGCGACCTGATGCCAGAGACTCGCCCAATCAGGAAAGAGAACAGATGTGACTCCTATCTTTGCCCATCTCGATTGTGGCAACATGTGCAAAATTGAAGCACACTGAAACAAAGCTAATAGCAATGGCCTCCAACCTACTTGCGATGGCCTCTAACCTAATAGCGGTTTTGTTCCAAAGAATCGGCATTTTGCTTTCCGGAATCCGAATCTCTTGGCTTAGTGACTTAGTGCGTAGTCCAGTTCGTGTAGCAGGTTCTGCAAGTGGTGCACGTGTCTAGTTTTCCAATGGCGGTGCAAATGCAGCCTTCGCCAATGCCTTCGGGGCCTGTCGTTGCGGGGATGCACCGGATGCTGTCCGATTCTGGCAGGGACTCGAGCTATTCATTTGGATCTGCCGAAAACACGGGCAGAGTTCGAAGTGCCTTGATGCTGGGAACCTTCGGAGGCTTGAGCAGCTTGGCACGTGTTCAAAGAGGGCATTCTCGGAGATCAGCTGGAGGCTCCTTTCGACCTCGCTTCAAGGTGTGTCGTTTCGCAAAGGATGAGCTGCTGGAAGAGGCCAAAGCGGCAGCTGAGGCCGCCAAACTCCAATTGGAAGCAGCAAAGCTTCGAGCTGAGGCAGAAGAGCTCAGACAAGCCACAGCCAAAGCTCAGCGGAAGGACCGTGCCGTGCGGCTCCTAGGGAGTGAGGACATCATGGGAATTGGGCTACCAGATTCTTGTTACTGTACTAACAGCGATGCCCTTGTTACGTTCGTGGCTTTTTGGACCTAGTAGTAAGGCCAGGAGCTACTAGTAGCTTCTTGCTACTAAGGAACTCATGGTTCGGCTTCAACAAGAAGGGATTGAGATTTCTGGCGCGCAGGGTTTAGCACTGGCGTCCGCCATGGGCTTTCAAGATGAACCTTACTTTTTCCGTTTGGAAGATCTAACATCGGAAGCCTTTGACAAGAAGCTTGCTGCCATACAAGCTGAGAATTTGCAGGCGGCAAGGCAAGCTGAAGCCAAGAAACGAGAGGAAGAGAGACAAGCTCAGGCTCAGGCTCAGGCACAGAATGAGGCCAACTCAAGTCCCGGCATCAATTCAGCTGGTGGAGCAGCTGAAGTCGTGAATGATGACCGCAGCTCCTCTTTGGCAGCTAAAGCGTGTTGAAGTGTTTAAAGTTATTCTGTGTTTTTCCTGTTGAAGCAACTTTGAAATGATACGAGTGCCAGTGGTACCACTAAAGGGAAGTAAACACTAGGTTCTGAAAAAGTTCATGGTAATATTCAGACCACCTGACAGCTGACCAATCACAGCAAGGTTTGGGAGCACGACTTGGAGGAAGTTTAGCCTACATCTTGCCATTGACAGAAGCGTTCAAATTCATGCTGCCACTCGTGCAGCAATTCCCTCCACTTGGTGTAATTTTCGGGCCAATCACTCTCCTGACCTTTCTCTTGAACACGATTCCATTTGTGCCGCTCATCCTCTTTGTGACCTTTATCGTCTTTGCCCAGCTCAAGGACAAAAGGATCTGTGACAAAAAGAGCTGTTAGACTGTTAGACTGTCAGTTGGTGTTCTCATCCGCGTAATTTCCCATTTTTCCAGGACATTCCCAGATTAATCCGTTTCAACTTGGAGCAGGACACCACAACATGGCTTGGACAGAAGACTGAAACTTGTAACGACGATGTTGTTTCCAAAAGCACCAATGCAAGAATCAACAGAGAGACCAAACTGTTCATGCCGGCTGTGTGCATGTGTTCAAGATCACATCTAGGTTCTGTTCTTGCATTCGGAGGCTGTCCTCATTGACATGGCGCTCACCATTCCGAGCTTCATTTTGTCCGGTTTAGAGTTCTCCGGAAAAATTCAGGTGCTTAGTTGCTGCACAAATGTTCAGGATGTTGTGAATCCGTGTTTTCAATCTGAGATTGTCTAGCAAGTGCATGTTGTAGATCTGAGCGGAAAGTTCCTTGCTCATGTGATCTCATATATATATATATAGATAGATACAGTACATATTTCATCTCATCCAACCCATGCGTAGGACCTGACGAAGCTATTGTCAAGGAACCTACAGAATTGAAACATGTACCACGTGTCATGTTCTCCCGTATTTTTACACAGCAAGTCAGATTGGTAGAAGGAATATAACGGAAAGTTGCAATTCAAGACACGTTCAGCGTGCCTGAAATACCAAAGGATAAAACTGTGTAAGTGGTGAGTTGCTTGTTTCCCCAGAAATGCAGGATTCTTTTGAGGGCTGCCATTTGCTCATACAACTAGGCTTTGCGCGGCGGTTCGCGATTCCTCACCCACCTGCGTGTGAAGCCGACCGAAGCGGTCAACATGACATGTTGGGACAGACAAACACATGGCCTCCAACCTATCAGCGATGGCAAGCACAGCATATTTTGACCCGCCACAGTGAGAGATTTCTGTATCCCAACACGGGAAAATTTGAGTGGTTCCAACTTGCTCATATCATTCGTAAATTGCCAAAGCAAGAGCCTGATCTCACAAAGGATACCAAAATTCCAGAGAACTGGCCTGAGCAGATGCGACCAATCCCCTCTCCTATTCATGTTGGCACGCTAAGCGGCTAAGCTGCGCACAATGCATTTATTTTAAGGCTATACTCAGTGGCAAAGTACATCGAAACTCCCTGCACCTGCCTCGGCAGTAGCACAATGGCGTTTCAGCGAGCAGTGTGCGGATGTGTTCTTTTGGCACCCCATTAATGCAACCGAAGGAGAGAGAGAGAGAGAGCATATTCAAGAATATACTGTAGAACAATAAACAGAAGTCTGAGTCTGAGTCTGAGTGATTGAAGTTGGACTCACGAAAATCGGCCATTGTACTGAAAGCCATGCAGAGTCATGGAGATACAGGGTTACGGAGGCCAAATTGAGGAGAAAAGGAAAGAAATGCAATTTAAAGGTGAAGGAAAAGACACAAGGTTGGACACCATCCCTATTACGCTGGAGGCCATCGCTTTTAGGTTGGAGGCCATCGCATTTAGGTTGGAGGCATTTGCTGTTAGGTTGGAGGCCATTGCTTTTGGGTTGAAGGCAATCCCTATTGGG